GAAATAACTTTACATTCATTTCTCACATACCGTTCACCGACGCCATGGCCTGATTCATGGCGGCGAGGGGTAGGACTTCCGGCTGTCCGTTCACGTCAATCGTGTACTCAAAGGGAAATTGTTTGTAATGATAGCCACTGCACGCCATGTCTGTCGCGTATGTAGTGTTCAAATAGAGGGCAGTTATGCTCGCGTTTCCGTCACATTTCGAGTGCTTATCCACCGATAACGCGGTGTTTACGTACGGCGTGAACGCTATTGTAATCATTATAGAAAATATTAACTAGGTATTTTTATAAGCTAAATTTAATTCAGTACCCAGGTGAATTTCCCTATGACCAGGCTGAGTGGGGTCAACAGCCAAGAACTTGCTTACGTCGACGTTTAGTTGCCTTAAAGTGTTGTTGAAATCTGCGGCCAAATGGAGGCGACTGTCGTCTCTCAACAACTGCTCGATTTCCACGTTTATAACGGCAGGCCTATTACCACCTGTCCGTCCGGCACTGGGATGTATGATAGACTGTATTGGCTTAAGGGCACCGTTTAATAGATCTAATGGTGATGGGAATAGGTGTCGCTTTTCAATGCCGTCTCCATTGGCTGAGGTTAGGCCTATTTGTATGGGTTAATAATAAATGAATTTTATTTACTTTGTAATATATTCAATAATATTTATTAATTATATAATACTTACAAATAATATGCGCTACAAATAGGGTCACAATTGATAGACAATTCATGATGAAATCGTTATTGTATTATTCAATTCAATTAATATTGAATGATACTAGTTAAATTGTTTTGTGATTTCTTTGAGACCATCTCACTCGTATTTATACAAAAAAAAGTAACCTAGTATTCAAACATTGTACAAATCATATGCTATTAACAAATGTGCTTGTTAGTACATTTTGTCTAATTATGTACTCGACCTGAGTAAGAGACCGCGGTAATTACTAACTTTTATTTAAAAAATTTAATTAATTAATTATTTTAATATGCTAAATTATTATTTTATATACTATTTATTTAGTAGATAAAGTTCTTACCAATCTATTACAAACCTTATGTACAGTGCATAAATAATTTATCATTTATAGTAATAATACAATATTTATTAATTATATGATAAATTGCTTTAATCTGCTATTGAATTATTACAAAATATATGTCATGCAACAAATCCAATAAATTATTTTATAATATGTAATGATCTTGATAAATAAATCCGGTTATATTTAATAAATACTATTGTCATAAATGATAAATTATTTATCTACAGTGCATAAATAATTTATCATTTATAGTAATAATACAATATTTATTAATTATATGATAAATTGCTTTAATCTGCTATTGAATTATTACAAAATATATGTCATGCAACAAATCCAATAAATTATTAAATAGCTATATAATAGATAATAAAAATCATTTTTGAGAAAAACTGATTCAACCTATGAGTTCTCACAACTTATCTATATTTCTGGGCTTAACTATCTTATCATGATCAATTTGTTTTGATTTAAGGTCTAATTATAAATAATATTTTTCATTATATTACAGATATTTTAATTAAATTTATAAATCTGTAATTATTTCAATAATAAAATTTAATTTATAAAATTAACCTACATAAATGTACTGTACACATAATAAACTATATATATACTGATTAGTGATTATTTTTATTTTTTACAAAATAAATACTTATTTATCCTAATTAATAACTAGTTAATTGTAAAATTGTAACTTAATAACTCATAAATGTTTAAATAAATTACTATAATTGTCAATAATAATTATGTAACTAGCGCAATAATTAACATATTTCAATAAACAATATTTACAAAAATAAAAATTTAAATATTTAGCTTCAATTGTGTTGTAAATAAAGCAGCTCTGAAGTACCTGGAATAATACCCTAGGTTTTACTTGAAATAATTCATAGTAATTGCATTACACTTGCCATAATCATTTATTAAATGTATATTTCCTAGAATGTGATAACTTATCAAGAAACTCAAAATTATCAATGCTTGTTAATATTTATTAGGGACGCATGTTAGATAAAATAAAATTAATGGGAACCCAAAAATAAACTTATTTTAATAAAGGTTTATTAATAAATATTTAAAAATCTATAATAACTTTTATAATGTCATTAATATTTAAACTAAAAATCATTAATTATATTTTGACAGTTTTATTATTAATTTAAAGTTTTCATAAGTAACATGATTAATTTAGATATCTATATCATTAGAATTTAATAATTTTTTAAAATATTAAATATGTAGGTGGGATTAATTTGTATAATTTTTGACAATCCAAAATAATTATTTAAAAAAATTCTATTTAGTAATACAGATATTTTCAGTAACTTAATAGTTAATCATACACACTATTTATGGCTCTCATTTCTGCGAACACCCTGGTCCATTCATCTAGAAATTTATTTAAAATCTCATTTAACTGGGGCTGACCTAACTCCAATTGAATGTTTATTGCCCGGATAACCTCCCATTCCACGTCATCATCCCATTGACTGCCGCAAAACTGCATACCCGGCTGATTGGACTCATTAATATTCTCATTCACCAAGCTCATTAAGGTTGAAAACGCGGTAGCAAATTTGGTCAAATCACCAACATGATGCCCTTGTTGAGCACCAGGTACAGACTGAAATAATTCGCGTGTGAAGTTGGCCAATTTTATATATAGTAACGCTTTCTGGTCGAACCGCAAGTCATACGGAGTTTCAGCCGTTTGATGTTTAGCCGAGTCGATGACAATGGTGCCAATGCCATCCAGGAGGTCAGCCAGATCAGTGCGTACAGCGAATGCAAAGTTATCTTACTCATTCGCGAGTCGCTCGAAACCTAGTCGTAAGCCTTCACCTACTTTAAGCCACAGGTGCCGATTCTTGTCCACAATGGAGGTTAGGTTATGTGTGTCCATACACTCGGTAAACTGAAATGATTGATCCGTGACTACTTGCCATGCATATTGTGTGGCACCGGTATTGATAATGAAAGTCATAAATAGGGCAATGATTGTTTGAGACATTATATTTTAATATTACAATAGTTTTGCAATCAGTGTAATAACTAAATATTTTTACGATTAATGTATCTCAACACTCTGTACTATACTATGACTTTGGGTTTGCGATATATATAATAAATAGTTTTAGTTAAATAGGTGATGTGGTTATTTTTAAAAATAATGCAGCTGTTGCAAAAATACTACACTGTGTGGATAGCAAATGGAAAAAAGGTTTACAAACTCAATCTATACCGTATAAATCTACCAGTATACATTCACTTTAAAAACATTAAATTCCCTTGATTAAAATTTGTTAAAAACCTCCATTCTTTATATTGATTAAATAATATAAATTTTATAATTTCGTAAGTTTATATTAACCAAATTAAGATGATTTGAATGTTTTTTATATAACCTATACTGATAAGACTTTTATAGATTGATTTTATTAAACCTTTATTTCATTGGCTATCCATACGGGTCTGAATAATACACTAATATAGTTAAATTCACCTGAAACAAACAATTCAAAGTAATTGCATAACACTTGCTCTGGTGACATATGAAATGTTTATTTTATATTTTGTGACAACTTATCAAGAAACTCAAAATTAACAATAATTGCGATTAATTATTAGAGACTCATGTTAGATAAATTTATATAATTAACGTTAAAATTAAATTATTTTACTAAATGATTATTGAAAACAAGTATCTAGATTGAATTTTTATAATAAGAGCATTTATTATTTTTTAAAAGTTTTACTATTATTTTATTATGACTTTAATTTGACATAATCATGAAAATAAGCATTAAAACGAATAATTATTCAAAAAATTTATATTTGTATTAAAGTTTTATTAGAATAACATTTATTGAAACAAGTTTAGGTACTAGCTAATTTAAATAAATAAATATTTTATAAAATGTAAACATATTTTATTAGCAGTATTTTATTATATTTATTAAAGTAAATGTGATTTTAAAAATATGGTTTACTGTAGTTAGGGCTGCCAAACATCCTCCTTTAGGAGGATTGTCCTCCAATCGGGCCCTCAAAAAACAGTCCTCCCGCGGGTCTCAGGAGGACAATGTAGTGCCAAAAATAATCCAAATATTCATTTAATTTTCAATGGCATACCCTTAAACGCCACCCGCCACGTGGCGGGTGGCGTTTAAGTATGTTTGCCCGCCACCGGTGGCGGCATTGATACCCCGCCACCATATCGGTGGCGACCGTGATACACATTTTTACACAAAATTATACATTTTTAGGTTAGGTTAGGTTAGGTTAGGTTAGGTTAGGTTAGGTTAGGTTAGGTTGTCTATCAGAGCCGCCACGGGTACGGTGGCGGGTTATTAGGGCCGGCACCGACATGGTGACGGAGTATCAGGGCCGCTACTGGTGGCGGGCAAACATACTGAAACGCCACCCGCCACGTGGCGGGTGGCGTTTAAGGATGTCCCATTTTCAATTACTTTCCGAAATTCATAAAAATAGATTGTGAGCTTGTAATACACTATGAGCTAGGATAACAAGTAGTGTATTGAATTTGAATTGTAATTTGACTTAAATTATAGTATAGCTATTATGAGTAAAAATGTATAGGAATATTAATAATTAAACATTTTTAATTTTTTGTCCTCCCACTGTCCTCCTGACTATGCTCAATTTTGACTATTTGTCCTCCTAGACCATGAAAATAGTTGGCAGCCCTAACTATAGTATAACCGTAATATTATTTAAAGTTACACTTTTTTTAAAAATATTACTAAAGTATACTATCGTATAGATGCGGTTATATATATGCGGTTGTATAATATACATATTATGTTAATTATATAAAACATTTAAGAAATGAATAACTTATAAATGATTTGAAATGCTTTAAAATGTTTTTTATTTAAACAAATTTTCAAATTACAATATATTCAATGCTGTGTTCATTTCAGTGACGGCGAGCCTTTGGAAACCCGTTTATGCCTTACCCTCGTTGTTATAGGGGGTGTG